CTTCCCTAATCTGTCACCAGTCACTTCCTATACAGAGAAGAACCTCTCTGCTGGTCCCTGCTCCCATCCTGAATCCCAGTATCCAACAGTGAACTCAGAACTCACACACACTTAGAATATTTAATCTACTCCTTAAATCCACTCCTCCTACATATCTGCTCATGTATCCTAATAAAAGTTGACACTGACTTGGGGTGTTCTGTATTTTTGTGTACTAGAGTGTGAGTTCCTTGAAGCAAGTATTACCTTTTAGTCTTTTTCTATCCTTATTTCATGGTACCTAAGATTCTTCAGCCACTTAAAGAATATCTGTTGACTTGATTGGCTATTTCAGATAGGCAGGTACATTCCAAGGAAAGGACAATGAAAAAATGAAAAAAGAGGGAGAAAGAGAGAGAGAGAAACATGATTAATGACCCAATGCTCTCTAACAGATGGAAGTGTTTTTAGCTATTGGAGGTAGAGCAATCCACAGCCAAGGGTATTGGGATCATGCTAAGAAATGTAAGTTCCAAAAGAAACTGGATCATCCTATAGATTTACTGGCCCTAATAAAATTGTTTTCAAGGTACATGTATTAGTTTTTTTCCTATAAATATAAAAATAGAAATGAAAAATAATGATCCCCAAAGATATTCATGCCCTAACCCCCAGAACCTATAAATATGTTACCTTTGTAGATATAATTAAGAGTATGGACCTTGAGGTGAAGATTATCATGAATTATCGAGGTGGGCCCAATGTGTCATATCAGTTTTTAAAAGTAGAAGACCTCTCCCAGCTATAGTCAGTGAGAGAGAGATGTGACAATAGAAGAAAGGGCAGAAAGATGCAACATTCTGGCTTGGAAGGTAGAAGAAGAGAGCCATGGGCCAAGGAATGTGGGCAACCTCCAGAAGCTAGAAAAAGCAAGGAAAACAGATTCTCCCCTAGAGCCTCCAAAAGGAACACAGCCCTGCCAACACCTTGACTTTAGCACAGTGAAAACTGCTTTGGAATTCTAACTGTATGAATCTGTAAGATAACAAATTTGTGTAATTTTAAGCCGTGAGTAATTGGTTACAGCAGCAGCAGAAACTGAATACAAAAGGCAACCCTGGGCCTCAGCATAGCCCTCAAAACTGATGAGCAGACCTTCCCTGCTGAGCCCCCAAACCAGAGAAACTTCTTATTCCAGCTGAAACTATTCCTCTGTTCCCCCTTTCCCTCTCTACTACTTGGCTGACTTTTTCTCATCTTTCAAGACTCAGTATAAACTTTCCCTCCTCTGAAAAATCTTGTTTTCTCTATAGGCTATCAGGGTTTGAAAAGTGGGGACCATGTCATGTTCTTTGTACACATTAGTTTGAATGATGGAATTAATCATCATTCGATGGAGTGTAAAAATAAGAGACAATAAAACTGCTTTCTTGTCACTGCTTTTAAGAAAAGGGTAAGATCACTCACTCACTAGGAGCCACCTTCATTCACATTCATCAGGTCCCACGTTAGTTGTTCTCCTCCTCTCTTTGGACACACACACACACACACACACACACACACACACACACACTTACAACCTGGCAGAGTTAAATCCCAGTTTGTGGCTGTTCAGAGTCAGGCAGGTAAGCAATACATTCATCCCTGATCAAAAGTATGAGTTCTTGGGAGTCAAAGGCTGAAACCAGAACATTTCAAGGGAAACTTAAAAAGCAGGGGGAAAGATTCCAAAATGTGGAGTTTAAACCCAGATCCAAGGTTTGAGAATTAAGTAACAGGACTCTTGTGGGATAGTTTTAAAATGTATCCCCAACACTTTGACACTCCTTTCCCCAAAAAGTGAAGCCTAATTCCCCTCCCCTTGAGTGTGGGCTGGAGTGAGTCCCTTCTGATGAATAGAATATAGTGATATGAAGATTCCCAAACCTTCAGACAACTGCAGGCCCAGCCCACATCTTGAGGGCTGAGCTGTTCCCAAATTCCCAACCACAGACACTTAGAGGTAAAAAATGTTCATTGTTTGAAGCCACTGTTTTGGGGTTGTTTGTTATGTGCTAAAATAAATAGTCAATATAAATAAGATAGCCCAGCCGGGCGTGGTTCAGTGGTTGAGCATCAACCTAGGATCCAGGAGACTAAGGTTCGATTCCCAGTCAGGGCACGTGCCTGGGTTGTGAGCTCGATCCCCAGTCGAGGGCGTGCAGGAGGCAGCCGATCAATGACTCTCTCAGCATGGATGTTTCTATCTCTCTCCCTCTCTCCCTCTCTCTTCCTCTCTCTGAAATCAATAAAGATATATATATATGATATATTCCCTAGGGCAAAGGTGACAAATGGAAAGTCAAGAACCTGATTCTGTCTACAAATATATTTTTTCTCAGCTGAAAATGTTAGTTTTTTTATGAGCTAAATTTTTTAAATCATTCAATTCTATTTAGAAATCTAGATTGCCAGGCTCTTTTTAAAAACATTTGGAGATCTGGCAACACAAAGGCCTGCACTTCCATCTGGCAGCCATGAGCAGGAAGTGAGGACCAGCCTTCGATGTAGAAGATGCAGGCTCTCCTAAAGCTCCCTAAAGTCCCCGCTAGCCCTTATTCATGCCCACACTACACCACAGCATGGCTTTTGCACTGCTGCTCTTCTTCTAGTAGAGAAATATTTGCCAGTTCCCATATCTCTATCAAAAGTAGGACACAGCCCAGTCGGGCGTGGCTCAGTGGTTGAGCATCATCCTAGGATCCAGGAGATCACAGTTCGATTCCATGTCCAGTTTGCAGGCTTGATCCCCAGTCGGGGGCATGCAGGAGGGAGCCGATCAATGGCTCTCTCATCATTGATATTTCTATCTCTCTCTCCCCCTCTCCCTTCCTCTCTCTGAAACCAATAAAGATATATTTGTTAAAGGAAGGAAGGAAGGAAGGAAGGAAGGAAGGAAGGAAGGAAGGAAGGAAGGAAGGAAGGTGA